ATGATCCCTTGTTACTTTCCCAAACCCTACCCACACCTTAAACTAGCTTCAAATTACCCAGTTTAAGGGTGTCATCTATTCCAAACAGGACTGATACAGATACCATCTCCACATTTTAATACTTAAAAACAAAACAAAACCCACAGATTTCTGATTTCCTCATTTGCATGAATGCCAACATGAATCAAATTCCACTAATCAGATATAGACTCCGCAATATTTATTTGGAGCTGAGTTACACAGGGAAACAAGTGGGTACATAGCACCCATTTTGCTGTCATGGATTATTGCAGAGAAGGTGTTTCCATGAAGCTCATTCATGAAAACAGAACGACTGTGAGTATATAGAATAAGGATTTATTTTAGGAATTGGACAGTACACAATTGGGAGAAGTGCTAGGCAGTAAAGTTCTGGGGAAAATAAAGGAGTTGGAGGATTATGAAAAGACCAGTTGCTCTAAAGCACTGGCACATATGGACAAGTCAGAGCTTGGGGGAAGCCAGGCACATCCAGCTGCTATAATGGGACCCTACGAGGCTGGTGTCAACATCTAGGAATAGCTGTTCCCTCTTCTTGACTGTTGCCTCTGAGTTCACAACTTTCCAAATCCCTCTCATATTTCTCTTTTGACCATCTCTAACCAGGAACCAAACCATTGTCCTGAGGTCTTTCAGGGAGTTTGGGGGCCTACATTTTCACTTGTGGTTGCTAGACAGCAGAGGACACCAGCCAGACTCCAATGTAGGGTTAAACTGACATAATCATGTGCAGCTGTGGACTTTGTTGGCTCTCCTGGCAGATGCAATGTTGGTAGCAGCTGAGATCATCCCCACAGAGGGAGTTTGGGAAATCTTTGTGAAGTTTTCCTTTGTGGTCCTAGTGTTGTACCAAGTTGTCCCAGTCATTTTGAACATGACCTGGTCTGCATATAGCTCCAGCTGGCCTTGTTGGACACATCATAGCAGCTGGAGAGTTTGTTAGCATGAATCAGGTTGCACCTGGCAAGATGAGAGAAAACCCTAGGATATGGTGACCATGCGTGATCAGCAAGCCTTCCTAAAGGGATATCATGTTCACTTTTCTGTTTCTACCTGCAACTAAATTCCTGCCCCAGATGGAAGCTCCTTGAGAACAGGCCCCTAGAGACACAGAATTTCTAATCAGTTATCAGTTAAAAATGATTATTATTCTTAGGAGAAATGAAAGTATTTTATTTGAGAAACAAAGCAGGGTTTCATCAATTATAAAACAAAAGGTTTGGCCAGGCACAGTGGCTCATGCCTGTAATCCCAGCACTTTGGGAGGCTGAGGCAGGAGGCCGAGGCAGGTGGATCATGAGGTCAAGAGATTGAGACCATCCTGGCCAACATGGTGAAACCCCTTCTCTACTAAAAATACAAAAATTAGCTGAGCATGGTGGCATGCGCTTTTGGTCCCAGCTACTCGGGAGACTGAGGCAGGAGAATCCCTTGAACCTGGGAGGCAGTGGTTGCAGTGAGCCAAGATCACACCACTGCACTCCAGCCTGGCGACAGAGCAAGACTCTGTCTCAAAAAATAAAATAAAATAAAATAAAATAAAATAAAATAAAGGTTTGACTATGTACTCTATTTTGTGAAGAAATTGACTAGAGAAACAAATTTTGTAATTTCACCCCTGTATTCTTTTTATAAATTATTGGTAAGATAAAATAAGGACATAAAAAGAGCATATAAAATGTGTAATATTAATTAAAATAAAAGGCCTAGCAGATGATATGATTATCAATGTAGAAAATCTGAAAGAATTGACAAAAAATTCCAGGAACTAATAAGCAATTATAGCAGGGCTGCAGGATACAAAACTAATACAAAAAAAGTTAATTGCTTTCCTATATACCTGCAATGAACAAGTGGAAGTTGAAATTAAAAACACAATACCATTCACACAAGCATAAAATAGTGAGGTATAAATCTAACAAAATGTGTATAAGATTTATATGAGAAAAATTACAAAACTTTGATGAAAGAAATCAAAGAACTAAGCAAATTGAGAGCTATTCCATGTTCATGGATAGGAAGACTCAATATTGTCAAAATGTCAGTTTTTCCCAATGTGATCTGTAGATTTAATGCAATGCCAATCAAAATCTCAGCAAATTATTTTGTGGGTATTCACAAACTGATTCTAAAGTTTATGAGTCACCCCAGGGTCTCCCCTGGTATGAGAGAGGATGGGACCTGCTAGGCAGACAGAGTGTCTATAGGGGTTTGACAAGAAAATGAGCTATGTGTGATCATGTGTGACAGTAAAAATACAAAGGTTAGTTCTTCCATAATAGCAATGTAATTATCTGGAAAAGGATTGTTATCTCTTCAGCCCAACAACTGGATTCAGCTCTGTTAGTGGCTGCCACTAAACAGCACTGAGATGGGGTCTTGCTCTGTTGCCCAGGCTTGGAGTGCAGTAGTGCAATTAAAGCTCACTGTAATCCCAAACTTCTGGGCTCAGGTGGTCCTCCCTCTTTGGCCTCCCAAAGTGCTGAGATTATAGGATGAGCCCTATTATAGGCACCCAGCCCTAGAAAAAGAAAAATTTTAAAATCACCAATAGTCTCACAAACAAGAGGTAACCACATATTTTTTCAAATGTCATCTAAATATTTATGCAATCATATCAAATGATGTCAAATACTACATAGTTTTTTAATCTGCTTTTTTCATGTTTTAAAACACAAAATATTACAATAAAATGCATATACCTTTAAAATTTTAAAAAACAAAAACAAAAAGTGAAGTTTATATCAAGAGGCAAAAGACACACAATAGCCAACACAATATTAAATCTGAAGAAGAGCAAAGTTGAAGGACTGATACTACTCAACTTCAAGACACACTGTAAGACAATAGTAATCAAGACAATGTGGTATTGGCAAAAAAAAAAAAAAAAGGAAAAAAGACACATTGATCAATGGAACATACTAGAAAGCCCAGAAATAGACCCATATCAATAGAGTCAATTGGTCTTTGACAAAGGGCAAAGGCAATAAATGGAGAAAAGATAATTTTTTTCAACAAATGGTTCTGAAATGACTGAACACTCACATTTAAAAAAATTAGACCTAAACCTTACACCATTCATGAAAATTAACTCAAAATGAATCATATACCTAAATGTAAAATGCAAAACTATAAAAACTTTTAAAATATGGCAGGAAAATCTCTTAAAAGATGACTTTGAGTTCATTGAGGACTTTTTAGATTCAACACCAAAGGCATAATTCATAAAAGAAATAATTAAAGAGCAATCTGGACTTCAATAAAATTAAAAATTTCTGTTCTGCAAAAGACACTGTCAAGAGAATGAAAAGACAAAGTGCACTCAGAGAATTTGGAAAAGATAATTGACTGTTATCAAAAATATACAGAGAACACTTAAAACTCAATAATAAGAACCCCAAAATCCAATCAAAAATAGGTTAAGACCTTAACAGACACCTCACCAAAGAAGATGTACAAGTGGCAAATAAGCATATGAAAAGATGCTCCACATCATATATCATCAGAGAAATGCAAACTAAAACAACAATAAGATACTACTAAATACCTATTAGAATGGTATTAGAATGGCCAAAATTCAGAACACAGACAACACCAAATATTATATTAACAAAGTTGTGGAGCAACAGGAAATCTCATTCAATGCTTTTGGGAGTGAAAAATGGTACAGCCACTTTAGAAGACAGTTTGATAATTTATTACAATATTAAACATGTCCTTACCATACAATCTAGCAATCACACTCCTTGATATATTTACCCATGGATGTTTATAGCAGCCAAGATATCCTTTAGTAGGTGAAAGGATACATAAGCTGTGGTATATCCAGACAATGAAATACTATTCACTACATCAAGCCATAAAAAGACGTGGAGGAAATTTATATGCCTATTACTAAGTGACAAAAGTCAATCTGAAAAGGCACTATACTGTGTAATTCTAACTATATGACTCGTGTCTTCTTTTTCTTCTAACATTTAAAAAAAGTATGAAAGTAACCTCTTTTAATGTTTTTGCACTCTTCTGTGGTCTCCTTTTACCCCCTCATATTCCCTTGAGCGAAAATATTTAGCTGGGGGAGGGGAGAAAACATAGATAGGCCCTTGCTATGTCACCCTAGATTAGTTAGGAGTGTTGCTGTGTCTAGTAATAAAACAATCCAGGCTCAACCACTCATTTATCTCACTCCCCACCTTCAGTCTATGCCTACCCACTCAGGAACAGGGGCCGCCTTTTAAAATTTTAACTCATTATCCTATGGCCGTTTGACTGTAGGGGGTGGAAATGGAGGTCTGAGGACATAGGAGGATGGTGAGAGGTGAGAATAAAGGCCTGCACTGACCCTTATCAGCTCCAGTCTGTAGCCAAGTTTCTGCATTACTCATTCTTACCCAATACCTCCAGCTGGCACTTGGATAGGGCTGCTACACAATGCATTGCAACAACCAATGGGCTTGTCTAGGAAATATTGAGGGGCAGGGAAGAGAAGAACTAAAGAAGCCCTCCCTAGCCCATGCCTGTCCCTGGTGTCTGGCCTTCATTTACTCTATGGTTGGTCACAGGGGAGGAAGACATGACATGTCACACACTAATTAGACATGGATTGGCTATGCTACTTTCTAATATGTTTTATTTTTTGGTTCAGAATATCTCATGATCACTTATCTCCATCATTAAATTAACTCCATGTCATTGTTTGGGTGTGATAGTTCTTTAGATTATCCTGGGAAGCACAAGTGAGGAAATGGTAAAAGTGAGACAGGCAAGGTAGAAAGTCAAAAAAGAATACATTATGGAGTCTGTAACTACCGTGGGCAACTGGGACTCAGGCCGTTTCTGAGAAAACACAGGGAAAATTCCTCTGAATAATAACAGGAGAGGAGGAGAGGATGGAACGTTTATTCCTCCACTCCCTTCCCCCATTGTTTGAAGCTCAGGGGCTTAACTTTCCCTCACTGTAGGTCATACCTGCTGGCCAAGACTACTTGCATTTGATGCCATAAAGAGCTCACAGGCAAAGAAGTGAGAAGCAGCACTTGAGCCGAGAACCTCAGCATGCTAGAAGCTGTCTACAGTATGTGCAAGTAAACTCACTGGATTGAGGGGATATGGGCTGGGAGAGCAGCCATATCTGGTACATCTAGGATGACTGAAGTAATGGGAGAATAACTCAGAGAAAGGGAAATCATCAGACCCTTTATGTTTTAAGAATTACAAACAGCTGGGCATGTGGTGGTGCACACCCGTAGTTCCAGCTATTCTGGAGGCTGAGGCAGGAAGATTGCTTGAGCCCAGGAGTTCAAGGACAGCCTGGGCAACATAGTGAGACTCTGTCTGAAAAAAAATAATAATAATAATTAAAAAGAAAAAATACTGCTTGCCTTTTGGATTATTCTCTGCGGGGAAAAGGCAGACATGGTTTTGATGTTGTGAGAAGGCCTAAGCCAGAAACCAATCCCATCCCAGCACTCCTGGCTTAACAGGAACCCTGGGATGTGTCTATGTATGATAAATGAAAGGAGCTAGCACAAAAAGCTTCTCTCCAAGGAGCCCAAGGGTAAAGGAAACTTAGCTGGTTAGCACTGAGGGAATGGACCATTCCCATTCAAAGGACAATGTGCCCTGGTCAGGGATCTGTTTCAAGACTAATGAATTATATTAATTTTAAAAAACCTTTTATTTTAAATTAATTTTAATTTTTAATTTATTATAACTTTTTTTAGAAACAGGGTCTTGCTTTGTTGTTCAGGCACTGGAGAACAGTGGTACAATCATAGCTCACTGCAGTCTCTAAAACCTGGGCTCAAGTGATCGTCCTACCTCAGCCTCCCAAGTAGCCTTGCTAAAATCTAAAAAAAAAATTTTTTTTTTGTAGATATGAGGTCTTGCTATGTTGCCCAGGCTGGTCTTGAACTCCTGGCCTCAAGTGATCCTGCTGTTTCAGTATTGCAAAGCACAGGGATGATAGGCATGAGCTACAGCCCTTTTATTTTGAGATAATTTTTAGACTTATAGAAAAGTTGCAAAAATAATTCAGAAAATTTCCATATACCCTTTACACAGCTTCTGCTAATGTTAACATCCTACATAATATGGGGGGCACAAGTGAATAAATGGTAAAAGTGAGACAGGCAAGCTAGAAAGTCAAAAAAGAATACATTATAGAGTCTGTAACTACCGTGGGCAACTGGGACTCAGTGATATTATATACCTAATAATAATATAATTATCAAAACCAGGGAATTGACATTGGAATAATATCAACTAAACTGAAAACCTATTATAATTTTGTCATTTTCTCACTAGTGTTCTTTTTCTAGTCTAGGATACATATTGCAATTAGTTGTCAAGTTTCCTTCATCTGTGACATTTCCTCAGTCTTCCTTTGTCTTTCATGACTGACACTTTTGAAGAGTTCTTATAGGTCAATATTTTTGGTTTTTTTACAATGTCCCTCAGCTTGGATTAGTCCAGTATTTCATTATGTATGATTACTTTGGAGTTACGCATTTTTGGCCAAAAACCACAGAAATGAATTTGTGCTCTTTTCAGTGAATCATATCAGGAGGTACATTATGTTAGTGTATCATATTACCAGGGATGACATTACCTTTCATCACCTGATTAACATGGTGTCCGCAGGGATTTTCCATGTACACTTTCTATTTTTCTATTTTCAATTAATAAATATCTTGGAAGGAGAGTCTTTGAGACTGTCTTATTTCTCATTACATTTTGCCCACTAATTTTAACACCCATTGATGACTCTTGCCTGTCATGTTATTACTGTGTATTTGCCTAAGGGGCTGTTTTTCAATAACCTGTTGGGTTGCACTAATTACAAGGATGGGCTGATCATAATGCAGTTCTATTCCTACATACATATGGAAGCTGGAGTATCCTCCTTCTGAATTCTGGGGCATTGTAATGGCCATGAGAACTCACGGGTAGATCTGTGAGAGAATGGAGCATCAAGAGGGAGATACTGAACTTCCTTTTAATAAAGCAATTAGGGAACTCAATAATTAAATGAAACAAATAAGATACTAAACATATTTACAGGTGATTTTTGTGGATTAGCTTGTTCTGGTTACATTAATTTTTATCTGTTATGCAATGAACCCTTAGATCTGTAGACTCTGGTATGTATGCTTCCATTTTATGAAAGTTTCGTTGTTTTTGTTCTATCGGGCTTATCCTTCTATTTGTAACAAATATGTATATTTTGGCTTTCTGTTATCTTTCTATTACCTTTTTTCTCCTATACTATGTTTATCCTTTTATCTTTTTCCTCTGCATTGTGTGGAAATCCTAAACATGTCCGAATGTCATAAGTTCACTTTTTTGTAGGGTAAATTTTGCTCCAGATTAAGTTCAGGTATCTTCCTCCTAAAATACTTAATTCTATCTATTCTATTTTTATTTTATCCTCTTATTTTTTTCCTCTGACATTATTAAACCATGTTTTATATATTTTTTTCTATTTTCTGGAGTAAACTTCTTCCAGTGTATGCTCTTGGGATGCTGATGTTCACTTTTTTTTTTCCTTTTGCTAAACTCATTCATAGGTTCTATTAAAATTTGTTTTATTATTCTCAACTTTGAATCAGAATAGTTTATGCAGGATTATTGTTTGCCCAAAAATACTATATATGAATTCTTACTGACTTTTCCTATTTCCCTGTGCACTGAGTCTTCACTTAGAGCTCGAACTAGAAGACTACACATTGTTGGTTTGTATTCTCTATCCAATTATGAAGCTATATGAGATGAATGAAAAGAAATCTATGCCTATGGGCAACTGTATGAAGGGAAATTTATCTTTGTTGTCTTTTTCTTTCATAATTCTGCTGAAATCCCTGAACCAAAGGCTAGCTGAGTTGAGCCAGTGATATAGTATTTCCTAACCAACGGGGAGGGCATACTACCTTCAGTGTGTTTTGCTCTTCTCTTCAAGTTGAGTGAACCACGTTGGTGAATAGTCACCATATTTTTTGTCATTTGTGTATGTATGTGTGTATGTGCGCCTATATCCCTGAACTAATCTGCCTTTTCTTGCCACTCTCACTGAAGAATAAGATAGTGGTCCCCAGGAATTATCCTCATCTCTCTCCCACTTTGTGGTGGATCAAGGAGAAAACCTCTGTGGCTTGGTATCTCTTCTAGCTCCTGCCTTAGAATGTTGACTAAGGGTCCAAAGAATGTATTCCATGTCTTGCCGTAGTGTGCTCCTGTCATCAGATGTGGTACTTCCAAACTGGAGAGCACCAAAGATGTTGCTAGGGTTTTTTTGTGAGTTTTTTTATTTTTGTTTTCGTTTTTGTTTGAGACAAGGTCTCACTCTGTCACCTAGTCTGGAGTGCAATGGCAAAATCATGGTTCACTGCAGCCTTGACTTTCTAGGCTCAAGCAAGCAATCTTTCCATCTCAGCCTCCTGAGTATGTGGGACCACAGGTGTGCACCACCATGCCTGGACAATTTAAAAATTCTTTTTGTAGTTACAAGTTTTCTTATGATGCTCAGACTGAAAGAAGTTTTTTTCTTTTCTTTTTTTTTTTTTTTTTTCAATGTCTTGCTATACATGTTGACCTTTCCAGAAAGGAAGCTCTTTTGACCCTGGTATTTACATTTACCTCAATCTAAATTGAGTTATTCTTTATTGATGACCTGTGGAGTTTTTAGACAAGATTAGAGACACATTCTCTTAGTTCAGAGCTGATAATGGTATCATTATACTTTGCTTTGTTTATTGTTGGATTAAAAAAAATTTGTGGGAGGAATCTTCCACAAAATCCCTGTATTTTCAGAAGAATCAATATACTTTTTTAACATAAAAAGCAGCTTTCATCTTTCTTACCAATCAAACAAGATAAATCTAGTTGCCGTTTTTTGAGCTTGTGAAATTGAAAATATCCCTTGATTGATTTTCATTATATAGCCCATCTCTTACTACTTTTGTAATCTTCTACATGTTTTACCTAAAAGCAACTTTTGAAGTTCATGAAATATAAAAGTACACACTTAAAAGTTTTTGTTTCTATAGAAGTCTTAAAACACAAATGAAATATTTCCAAGGGCTTAGTTGTATGTGATAAACTTATTGATCACCAGATGTCACTCTTGCTTCATGCTATATAAAGACAACTTTCAACCAGAAAATGAAAAAGAGATACTGCATTGCTGGTTTTTAAGTGGCAAAACATTTTTATCAGCAGGGAAGACTTATATCCTTTAATTAAGCAATAAAACATAAAAAGGAGTTCATTTTCATAGTAGAAATGCAAAAAATCTTGATTGGCTTTAATTACCAAAAGAAAGAGGTAATTCTTTGAAACACTCACCTGTCACCAAAAGAATGAAGAAATTATCCCACGGGACTTAGCTTGCTGTTAATAACATACTAGCTTTATTAAATTGACATATGCAATGGTTATTTCATGGTTTTAATTGATGTTATTAAAATTATAATGAAAATTTAAAGTATCATTTTCTCTAAGTTTTGGTAAAACTGATGAAGTTTAAGGTCAGTAAGGATGAATTAGAAATTGTTATAAATGACTTTGAATTTTCCTACTAAAGAAAATGCAGGTGTTAACTTTTTTGAAAGTCTCTCTTTTCAATTATATGTATGATGATGAATTTTCATAAATATTGTGCAAAAGTTATCTTAAGGATTTGTACTTGAGGCCGGGCACAGTGGCTCATTCCTATAATCCCAGCACTTTGGGAGGCCAAGGCAGGTGGATTGCTTGAGCCAAGGAGACCTTGAAAACTCAAAGTCTGGTTTCCAAATCCATGAAATGTGTTTCCAGGACCCAGCACTATGCCACCAATGAACTTTAAAAAAAATTGTACAAGTTAAACTACCATAGATATATAGTACTTTAGCAATTTTAGGGTGGTTTTATAAACTTGATTATAGATCAGAAGGCATAGGGACTGGTGGGGAAGGGAATTCAATTAACAGTTGAGAATACATAGGTTCTATGCCAAAAACGGGGAATGAGTGACCATATGCTTAACTGAATGCTGAGCGCAGACTCCATAGCTTCATCCCTTATTTGGCTTCCAGA